AAAAAAACCCCAAAATCTGGTAATTCTTTGTTTTCACATTCATCGGGCCCCAATATGCCCAAATATCAAAGAGAAATTAAAAATGCATGTTGTGAAAGAGTTCAGGTCTTAGGAGGTTAAATTTAGGGCAACTGAGTTTCTTTGTAATGAACATGGGAAAATAAATCATAAGTAATTCATTTCTGAACTTGCACTTATTTTTTTTAATAATATTTTCTAAATATTTACGGTTCATTTAATATGAAACTTTTATTCTAAAAAACATACAAAATTCTTAAGTTTTTGTGGAAGTTACTAACAAACTGAGCTGGATGCAGCCCATAAGCTAAAGCTAGTTTGACACCAGAGGCCAAACTATCAGCTTGTTGCTGCTTTATGGTTTGAGTTAGCTCAAAAGTAACCTCACTGCTGAGAGACTGTATCACACAGCAAGTTTTGAATCCACAATCGCTGTAATTAGAACTGTGTGAGCACTGCTTGATGCTTAAAGGAGTCTTATTAAATTTCTACAGGGGAAGCACAAGAGATGAAAAACCCAGGAGGGAACAACGGAGAGAGAAACATGAAGAACTCAAACAAATTAAAATGACTTAAGATTTAAAGACAATGATACAGAGGAAAGAAACTGTGGAGGTCTAATTGAGTCTATATATTATTTAGGACACCCCAAATTAAGAGTAAGCAAATCTCTATTAGCTGGTTTTTGTTCTGTTTCATTCAGTTATTGGGCAGCAAACATGTCAAGTTAGTGTAGGAGCAGTTTAAAATTGGCTGCTTGAAAAAGTTCAATAAGATGGCAATGCTCTTATTTAACAGCAACATCCGATTCGGGCATTCTACATTATCTTATTACGTCTACTCCTGTTTGTCTATGTGACAACATATGTTTATGGTATTTGTGTTTTCATCCCTTAATTGCTAAGCTGGCATATTCAGCTAACAATTCATCTCCCCTGTCATTTTTTGAAGAGAGACATCCCCCAAAAGTAAACACAGTCGTGCACAGATATTCACTCGGCCTGCCATCATCTATCAAGTGTACCTCTTCTGAAGGGAAGTGCTTTTAAAATCCGTTTAATAAACTCATGCATTGTCTTTTATTGCCCGAAGCAAAGCTGTCTACATCTCTCACTGTCTAAAATCTGGGAGTTCTCTGCCTCTCTTTCACTTTGTGCCTGTGGCTCTCGGTTCTGACCTCTTCCTCTCTCATATAGCATCTTTCCTTTTTCCATCTGTACCCACGCTTATTTTCTCTCTCTCGATATTTCAACTGAATCTGCCAACGTTTGTGTTCGTACAGTACGGTATGTGCATGAGTCAGTCTGTCGTCTCTCGTAGGTCTCAGTTAACAATGCAAACCTTAGTGTCTAATTCTACTTTGTTCACATTATTCCTTTGTGCCAACATCAGGTTCCAGTATGAATGGGTTACGGTCCTCAACTGATCCAAATAGGAACAATAGATGATGTTGTTGTGCTAAAGTAATTACGGAGACCGCTGGAGTCAGCGTCTACAGCTTACACGTCTTACAGCTTCAAGCTAACATGCAGCAGAGTAAATCGGACTCCACTTTTCAAGAAGAAATGCCTGCTGCTGCTTCTGCAGGGAGATAGA